AAATGATATTTGCATCTCACAAATACAAATGATACTATAATTTTTTAATAGTAAATGTTGTTTTTACACATCAATCCTTTAATCAAGATTGAGTATAGTATTTTTTTAATAGCAAATGATATTTGCATCTCACAAATACAAATGTAGATATAAATGATATTTTTAATAGTAAATGATATTACATCTCAACATTTTAGATTTGTTTTTTTAAAAAAAAATAAAAACACCATATAACCTGCTGTGCGAAGATAATTAATATATTATTAAACAATAATCAAAGCATGGATGGGCATTACTACACATTCTGATGGCTACAATGTCACCAAACTGTCCACGTGTAGATAATCCAGTAGTATCTTTCTAAGCTGCGAGGTACTTAACTTTTCTTTCCATCCAATAAGAAAAGTCTCTACCATAATTTCTGCCTTTTATCGCCCTCCATTATTCTAGTGGATTACACAAAGTCCATTATATTAAAGAACAGCACAGAAGAAGATCTGCAACATATCATCCCTTTACTTTTTACTTTTTATTTTTAAAAAGGAAGCAAGGTCCCCTGAGAGATGGAGGGAGTGTGAGGGCCAGCCAGTGTGAGTGGAAAGTCATGCCATTTGATTTTGATGCGGCTAAGGAAATTACCACGAAATTACCACTCAATACTCTGCTAAACTTTTGACTTTGACAAATATAACATCGCTAGTAATACGAAATATTATCTCTGCTAAGCTTCAGTCCTCAGTACTTTAGTCATCAGCTAACCTTTCCGATTGCTGCAATTTGATCATTAAAGTTACCTCATAAACTTCATAGCGAGGTAACCATTGCCATTGTTGCTACTGATTCCATGCTTTTTTTTATTTTCATCTTTTCAGCAACTATATTAATTGTTACATGACAACAACATTAACACTATATGAGTTTGATAAATTTGTTTGATGAACATCTTTCAATGTTGAGCATCTTCAGGTGTAGTGTCATATGGCACGTTAGAAGTAGCATTGATCGATCACAAGGATTGGATAAAAAAATCTTATTAAGATGGAGATTTGTAGAAAATTTGTTAACCTTTTTCCAACCACCATGACTTTTTTATTGTAGTATTTAGTTGGCATTTATTAGATTATTAGACTACATATGAGTTGCTGCCAAGACTATTCTCTCTCCTATAAATGAAGACAAAGATGAGAGAGTGCAAAGATACAGAGTGCAACTATGGAGGAAGACAATACAATTGTGAGAGAGAGTGCAAGTGCAAATTTGAAAGAAACACCTGGTATAAGAGTGAATTATTGAGTTTTATAAAGTTGTATTGAGTTGAGTTGAGTGTTTGTATCATTTCTCTAATAATATATAATCTATTGTCTCTGTGGACGTACTCAATTTTAGATAACTATATAAATCTGTTTGTCTAAGTTTTATTTGTATTTGCTTTGTCTAGTATACACAACAAAGATATGTATCAAGTTTTGACCAATAATCTGGTGAGATTCATATACACGAAAGTTTTCCTTTTCATATGCAATGCAATATGGTTTTACTAGTAAGTTTAAAATCTTACTTCAAACTTTCATTTACCTTCACTGGTTTTTAGGGAACTGGAAAAGTTGAAGGGACATTCTTGGATGTTTCAAAAATAAGAGAAATTGAGTTGAGTTCTACAGCCATGGAAATGATGTATAAACTTAGACTGTAAAAAATTTATAATTCTGAAGCTGGAGTTAAATGCAGAGTGCACCTTCCTTATGGTCTCAAGTCTTTTTCTATGATAGAAAATAATATAAATCATATCTTAGGATCTCATCTAATAACTTAAGCTTTTAGGTGAGATGGTTCTTTGATATGGTTTCAGAGTCTGGTTGACCAAATAGTCTCAAGTTCGAATCTTACCATCTCCATTTATTTGATAAAAATTAAGAATAAGGTAATATAGACTTGTGCAAGTTTCAAGTCCAAAGGACTTTCACTTGAGAGGGTGTATTAAAAAATAATATAAATCATATCTTAGAACCTCAGTTAATAACTTAATCTTTTAGGTGAGATGGTTCTTTGATATTCTGAAGAGTTGAGATATCCCCATTGGGATGGATACCCTTTGATATCTTTGCCTAGCAATTTTCCACTTAACCTTATTGGAATTAACCTACCATCTAGCAAGGTTAACCAACTGTGGAGAGGAGACCAGGTATTCTAAAATAACTCCATGCATGCACAATTCTTGCTTTGAAATTAAGTGCACGTGGTATGCACGTGTAATTTCTTTCTGTTGATTTCATTTTGCTTCAGAATCTCGTCAATTTAAAAGATGTCAACGTCAGCCATTGTGAGCACATAACTTTCCTGCCAGACCTTTCAAAGGCCAGAAACCTTGAGAGATTGAATCTTCAATTCTGTAAAAGTTTGGTTGAGTTTCCTTCATCTGTTCAGCATCTGGACAAGCTTGTTGATTTAGATTTGAGAGGCTGCAAAAGACTAATCAATCTTCCCAGTAGAATTAATTCAAGTTGTCTGGAGACTCCGAACCTTTCTGGTTGTGCAAATCTCAAGAAGTTCCCAGAGACTGCAAGGAAACTGACATATTTAAATTTAAATGAGACTGCTGTTGAAGAGCTTCCCCAATCAATGGGGGAACTCAACGGACTTGTGGCGTTGAATTTGAGGAACTGCAACCTCTTGGTGAATCTTCCAGAAAACATGTATTTGCTGACATCTCTTCTAATTGCTGATTTCTCTGGCTGCTCTTCTATCAGCGGGATTCCCGACTTTTCGAGGAATATAAGATACTTGTACTTGAATGGAACAGCAATAGAAGAACTTGTTGCACATACTGGACCGAAAGCAAACACAAATAAAAAACATAAATAACAAATTTACGTGGTTTCCCAAAATCAGGTACGTTCATGGAGGCAGCAGATTATATATTATTGGAGGAATGATAC